GGCATGGGTCTGCTGGCGGCGGCGCGGGGCCTGGTCCGGGGCGCGGACCGCATGAGCAGGTGGACGAGCAAGCGCGGCCCGCGCACCTTCTGCAAGGGCCGCGGAGCCAAGCGCACCGGCGTCCTCGCCGCGGACTGCAAGTTCGTGCAGGTCAAGGAGATGGTGCCGGAGTTCGTGGTCCCGGATCTGAGCGGCTTCAAGCTCCGGCCCTACGTGAGCTACCGCGCGCCCGCGGGCACGGACGCGCCCCTCACGGCCAGGGGGCTCTTCCTGGACGCGGTTGCACCTGCTGTCGAAAAGGACTTCAGAGATGGCGCCTTCGATCCCGACGACCTGGAGAAGTATGGCTTTGAGCCCACGCAGGACGGCAAGCTCTTCCAGCTGTACCCCAAGAACTTCCCGCGCTAGAGCCAGCGAGCAGCGGCGCACGACGCAGGGGGTCCCCTCTCGCAGGCCCCGTGTCCCCAGGGCGTGACAGCTGTCGCCCTCGTTCATTTCTATTAAAGGCCTTTGCTACCCTGTATAGTGTCTGTTTTTGTCATGGGTGTTAGGTTTGGGGAGATGGAGAAAAGGGACAGAGACCCTAGTCAGGCGCTGTTTCAGCCAAAAAGCTTTATTCCACTAACGTGGGGAGGAGACGAATCACATCAGCTCCTAACTCCGTACAGGCTAAAAAGGTTTTATAAGGTTTTGACTTAGAAGAAGGGCGTTGGGTGGTCGTTTTTGCATAAGAATGTTTTGCAGAAATTCCGGTTTTTCTCGAAGGGCAAGGCGGTAGGGGGTGGAAAGTTGATTAACGTGGGATAGGGGCAAGGGGAGAGGGTGGAAAGTTACTTAACCTGATTGTGCCGATTCTGGCCGTGAGGCCTGATATTGGGGCCGTGTGAAAGTGTGCAGTGTGACAGATTTCAGTGCAGTAACCTAGACAAAGTTCTCTCACAGAGTATTCCACTCGCTGTGAAACTCTGGAGGAGGGCATCTTCCCAACTGAAAGGTTCTGGGATTATGCCCATGGCAAGAATACATCACTCAGCTTATAGAAGGAAAAGAATTTGCAAGGCAGACTGCACCAGATGACAGCACTCACTAATTCATCTCCCAAACTCCTCACCCAAAGAACAGTGGATGTATTCGCGGTAACCCTCCAAAGCAACAGGGCTTCTCCTGGTCAGGTGAGTAACTGCCCCTCTTGGGGCAAACCTAAAGATGAGGACACACGGGAAGCTAGTTCCAAACTGGACTTTCACTGGTGAGCAATCTCTCTCCTGTGGACTGCCTCTGTCAGTGCATGGTCCCTCAGATCTTCCGTAGTCTGCTTCATATTTAATTGACACTTGTTAAATATCCTTAACGTGAGCTGTAAAGGTTTCAGTCAGCTGGGAATTGATCACTTTAACAGAAAAATTTCTGAAAACCATCTGACCTGTATTGGCATGCTGCGTTGTATCATAAGAAAATAAGAAAGCGGGAAGACAGAGGTGCATGTTTTCTGCTTCTAAGCACATGTGTATCCTTAGTAAATGCTAAGGATTTGACAAATTCAAACAGTGGCCTGTATTTCAACCACGTTTCCTCCCAGAGACACAAGAATACTTGAGCAGGAGTTAGACGTTTCACATGCCTAGTTTGTTCCCAAGTCACCGTCTGTCCAGGACCTGGAAGCTAATCAGTTTATAAATGCCACAATGAGGAAGTCATTAGTGACACATGCTGTATAAGAAAATAATCTGATTCATTTTAAGAAATGACTTCCCGGGCCACCCCCGTGGCGCACTCGGGAGAGTGCGGCGCTGGGATCGCAGCGACACTCCCGCCGCGGGTTTGGATCCTATATAGGAATGGCTTTGGATCCTATATAGGAATGGCCGGTGCGCTCACTGGCTGAGCACGGTGTGGGCGACACCACACCAAGGGTTGCGATCCCCTTACCGGTCACAAAAAAGACAAAAAAAAAAAAAAAAAAAGATTTATCTGAGGGTGCTTTATTGAGATGGTAATTAGTTCCCAGCCCCTTTCGTTTTCTTCATCCCCCCCCCCCCCCCCCCCCCCCCCCCCCCCCCCCCCCCCC